TGTATTATTAGAGATTTAAAAAAAGCACATATATGTATATACGTCTGTGTGTGCGCATATGTGTATACACATATATATATATATATATACATACGTACATATATGACTAATTTTATTTAAAGAAAAATAATATTCTAATTTTACGAATATATTCAACCTAAAGATCGAAACTAATGATATTTTACTGAGAAAAATCGTTACTACAGCACAGAATGCTATTAAATATGTATAGTGTATGATAGATGAAACTGCTACATGTAAGACAAAAATAACAATTATGCATCAGAGCAATAATATGGTTCAACAATCTGGTTAAAATGCGTTTATTTATGAACAAGAGAAAAGTGAGCGAAAACATGGGCAAATTATTCCGTGGTTAGTAGTCGAATCATCGGTGGGGTCTAGGAATACCTTGAAGCTGCTTGACAATGGGCTATTGAGGGTTAGGTATTAATTCGGCGACGATGATCGAGGATGGGGTGTAGCCTCGAAGATACTAGATCCAAAGCAAGATGCGATAAAAATCGCAAAGTCGAACGATGCTACGTATTTGTTTACGATACTTTCTACCTTCTATAATAGATTATGCTATATTAGACATTTTGGTATCGACGGGGACAGAAAGACTGACGTTCGTCTGGAATCGTCTCAACTTCTCGTGTATATACGTCGCAATAGTATAAGTCTCGAAGAGATCCTACGGCGTGAGATAATCGAGCTCTCGTACTTACGGCTGCGAAAGAAATTCAGGAGCCAACCGTTAAATGTAAGATCTCATAAAGAATTTCGCGTAAAGCACCGCCACACTCTTCACCTCCTCAAACTACGACGACCGATCAGAAAACCTTGATCTGAACTCCAACGCGCAAGGAATCACGGGTCGCACTTGCGAAACGCTGATAGGTCCGTTTCCACAGTCATATTTATCAATTTTTCCAATTTCACTCAATTTAATCTTGCTTATCCAAAAGCTACCTTTAAATTCTTTCTACCGTACAATTTCTCACATTTCACGGAATATCTGACTTTCAACGAGGATAATATGTAGAAAATAGAAGGAACGTGATGAATAAAATTTGCAAAAGTTTTGCCATTGGCAGTTTCTAAGTGCGTTCCTGAAATACTCGTTTACCGCTTATCGCGTGTTTGATTGGTGGAAATACGATTCAGGCTTCGTCACCAGAAGGCCACATAAACGAGACGATGTGGATGCCTTTAGGAACGCGTAATTGCGAAACGACTGCGTAAAACAACTTAATGGCCGGAAGTCGTGTTTTTCTACGAATTTATTCAAAGTTCCTTGGCGCGAGTATATATCGAAACAAATACATTATTGCGATATTTAAATTGATAGTATATTACTCAATTTTGCAAATCTTTAACATAGCAGAAAACAAACACGTTGACACCAGAGAAGCAGGTATTTAAAAATTTTTAGAATCGCTTTTTTCACTAACGAGAAAATCAATTGAATCGAATGCAAGAATTTTAAATTAGCATCGTGTAAACATTGATAATTGTAACACCGTACATTGGTGTAACGTAATTTTATGCTAATAAGAGGTTGATCAAATTTCAATAAAATCAATCGTTCGAATAGAAGAAAAATTATAAACTATCAATTTCGAACTTTGAAATTTTCAGTACGGAGGTAAAGTTGACGAATGTTAGACATATTACACTAATCACAATACATCCAAGTTCTCCTATACCTTGCAAATCTACCTATCTCTACCTGAGGTATAGAAACGAAGACGAATGATGATTAACAGGTACGACGTTCATTGGTTGTCCGTGTACTACGAAACTCCACCTACCTGTACGCCTATTTCTGCTCGAAACACCGGTATTATACCCTATAAACGAGTAGTAGGTGTCGTACAATATGGTCACTACAGGTTTCTAACTAATAGCACATCTTTAAAAACTGAACGAATACGAGGTCCAATTCTCGAAGTCTACAAACATTTTTCGTAAATTTTCACTTTTTCTGCTACTTAAAAACCAAAAGAATAATTTAGACGTTAAAATAGGTTAACAGAGAAACAGTTACTCCTAAAAATATTCAGGCGCTAAAGTAAGTTTAACTTTCGTTTAAGTTAGCAAAATGTGATATACCAAATTTTCATGGAAAATCTCTGAAATACGTGCTCTTCCATTGTATCTATAGATAAAATCTAAGAAATTCACATCTCTGTACTGTACAATTACTAATCCTTTCACAGGTGAACAAACTTTCAAACTGCTGTATACCGTAAAATTGACAACACCGTGAATATCAAGCTACGCCATCTAACCACAGAAACGGTACATCTGTATATACGTGAAAAAAATTCCTCTAACCAAGAAATCTGGACGAAAACGTGTGATCTGATCGCTCTCTTCACGAGTGCATCATCAGACGACTCCTCGCGAATCGAGTCGAGTCGAGTCGCGTAAGAGCGAGCGCGGTGGTGAACTTGAGGAAAGCATTTAGCCAGGGGTAGGGGATGAGAAGGAGAAGGGGTGATGTGGCATCGGTGGTGGAGGGCAAAGCTCGAAGGACGAGCGCGGAGGGTTGAGGAGCTATCGGGCGTGAATAATGCGCGGCGCCGTCCGTTCCTTGGTTCGATTCCGACTCGGCTGGATGGATTGATAAAGATTAAAGGTAAAGGGAGGTGGCATGGTCCAGGGGTGTTTTCGAGTTAGGCGACAGAAGTCAGCCAGCGAAACGAATCGGCCGCACGTATGGAGGGGGATGATGTCACATAGGGGCTCCCCCCAGCGTAAATACATACAGATGCAAGCCGGACTGATGCATCGAGGCTTGGGGCACAGTGACGTAGGTAGAGGAGGATTTTCGCCGAATTTTCTGCCCCTTTAGAAATATAGACTTGCACGTATAAGTCGTTCTAAAGATTGAATACACTTTTATGAAAATTTGAAGAGAGAAACTGTTGTTCAATTTTTAAACGATGTCTTATGGGCCTTGGAAGAAACGAAGAAATTTATTCCATTTGGGAAATTGGAAGAAATTAAAAATTATCATATGTGAAAGAAATTGAAGAAATTTTGATGAAAATCTGAAACAATTTAAAAATATATAATAGAGAAACTGTTGTTTGAGTTTTAAATGGCGAAGCGTGTTGAAATTGAAGGAGATCATGAAAATTGTTAAATTCGAAGAAATCAAGAAATTTATTGTATTTGGGAAGTTCGAAGAAGCGAAGAATGAGATTCTACGACGAAATTTCTATTCGTAACAATAGTAAGATGGTAAAATGTTCTGACTGATAAAACAAGGCTTCATCGTTTAACGATTAACCATAATTGGAACCGCGGAAAAAAAAGAAAGAAGAAATTCATATTCGATGCTCGGTGTTCAAACGTTAGTTCTTTTTTTCCAAACAAAGAATAGAAACTGCGAGAAAGATATTCTCCAAAAGAAATCTGGAACGAACCACAGTTTTATCAAACCATTCACGCGACGTCGTCGTTCCTTTTACAGATCTCCAACACGTCTCTTCACGTCTCACCCCGGACAAAATTCACCGAGAAGAAAATTCCTCCCTCTCGAAACAGTCTGGAAGAAGAAGAAAAAAAAAGGAAGAAAGAAGGAAAGAGAAATCTTTTTACGAGTTCCATTTTCCAGAAGGTCTGTGGAACGTCGTGTCGCCACTTCGCGGAGGCCAGGAATTGTATTTCATTTTAAATGGTCGTTCCGTCGCGGAGCTTCCTCGATATTGCGACTCCACGGCCGAGAATCCCTGTCGTCCGCGTAACGATTTCCTTTGTTCCATTGCGAGATAAAACGACCCTTGGTCACCGACGTGTGCGTTCCTTCTACGCGATCATAGCGCGATCGTTAAAGAACCTCTCTCTCTTCTTCACCACAGTGGCCTGTTCACTCGGTCACACACCGCTCTTTACACGCGGCGACGTTAAATCGAATTAATTCGTCGCTACCGGTACCGATCATGCTGGATGCGGGCGCTCTATACGAAATTTCACGAGCTCGATATAATCAACATTGACTTTCGTTGGAGTAGATTTCTTTCACACCGATTCCCTTCACTTCGTATGGGAAATTTTTTAAAAAGTGTGAAAAAAGGGGATTCTTTTTCTTTCTTTCTGTTTTTTTTGATCGAACGACGACAAGAGATGTATCTGTATGTTCGAGCATGGGGATAATGTCTTTTTTACGACGGTTACGTTTAACCGAACAAAGAAGGAAAGATGTCTTTTTAGCGATACAAGTGAATTTTTCTTATGCCAATGTGTAAAGAGATATTTTCTTTAGAAAATAGTAGATTGATAGTACGATACTTTGGTTAATAGGGTAATTAACCTGTTAACTGTGTAAGACGAGTTAACTGGCCGTTGGTTAGCCAATACATAGGACACGATGATTTATTCATCGAGGAATTATTGGTTATAATTCTTACTCATTTTCTAGAATAAGAGGTGAAATAGAATTTTTTGAAAATACTTTTTAAACATTCATCGGTATACCGGCATTGGTTTCTGGTTTAATAACGAACATCTATATGATTTCAGCTGCTATCGAACGTGAAATGGCCCGAACGATAAGCACATATATTTCTGGGTTATTCTACGCCAATGGGAGCAGCTCGGCACGGATGACTCACACGATCTCTCTGGCAGCCTCCTTTGCACGGTCCCGTATGGTAGTCGTGCACAATGGAGAATAGTAAACGCAGTAAAGGTAACTCGTAGAGAAGAGGGCCAGGTTCCCCCTGTGAGCGAGTACCCGCGGGTCACGTGCCACGATTTTCACCCCCGTAAGACCGATTGCCAGTCCGAGCAGATCCGGATCGCTCGTCGAGGCGATTTCGCACGGCGGGGAACACCGGGACCTCCTTGAATAAAACTACAGGGTGCTTGAAAAAAATGTTAACACTTACGCAGAGAATTTATGCTATGGCAGTTTAATCAATGGTAAAGGGATAACTCGAAAAATCTCCATTTTCATCTTCTTCAATATTTTCAGTCCTTCTAACCTCTTCAGAGACACTGATACATATCTTTCAGTTTAAGTTTCTTTTTAAATTTCAATAGATGTGGGATAACTGAAAAAAATATCGATATTAATCTTTTTCAGTATTTTTAAGCTCTTCAGAGACACCGATGCACACATTCGAGTTTAATTTTTTTTTTAATTTCAATATTTGCGATAAAACAAAATGAAAGTATAGCGAATAACTGTATTTTCTTCTTTTGTTTCGTTGCGACAGAAGAACGTGTTAACAAGTGGAGATTCTTTGAAGATAAAATACATTTATTAATACCATTCAGAGCACGATTTTTCTTACTTTTTCTCTCTCTCTCTTTCTTTCGAATTTGCATCAATAGGTCATGATTACGATCGAGTTCCATCTTTTTCCCTATTGTATTCTCGGAATGGGAGCGTGATTCGTTCGCCGCTTGGAGTTTTAAGATTCGTAGTTTGAGGAATTCGCGAAGTTTATAGCGAGGGTGCTGGTTGAGTTAGGAGGGAAGAAGATTGGAACGGGCCGAGGATAAATCTTCTCCGTGTTCGACGTTCGTGTATTCTTATTACAACGGAAAATAGCGTTCCGACAGTTTAGAGACGAATTTTCTAGTTACCAAGACGATCCAGAGGCAAATTTCCTAAATCAGGAAATTTCACAATTATCCTTGTGGTGACAAATTGGCAAGATATTAGGCGTATTCTTAGCTGTTTTAAATGCTGCACCGTGTGTTTATTTGCCACAGTGGGTTTCGCTAATTGAGAACGTCGTTACGATCCTCCTCGCTCAGTTACGCGTTTCATTGTAATTTGCACGCGTTTCGAGCTTCCACTGGAATAAAGTTATTATCTTTCTTGTCTAAAGTGACGAAACATTCAGTCCTACAAATATAGTAGATAGTCTAATACAGAGATTATCATCTCAATTTTTCCATGCGACAATTGTTTCTTCGATCTTCCTAATATTTTGGACAATATTTTCCTGCATCTGTCGCAAGTATGATAAATACTGAACACCGTAACAAGCCCTCTAAAATATTACGCTAACAATTGAAAAGAGAAAATTCCAAGAAACTTTTACAACAAATTAT